CTCTCTCTCTCTCTCTCTCTCTCTCTCTCTCTCTCTCTCTCTCTCTCCCCATTTTCATGTGTGTGTATGTGTATATATTAGGAATGTGCGAAACAGGCCATATTTGATTTGGATTTGGCCCAAATCGGGGACAGTAATTCAATTAATTGATTCAGATCACTGTCCCAATTCAATTCATCCGAATGCGAAGATTTGATGCTGATTCAGAGAATCAGTGATTCGGGCATAGACACAGCTTTAAATATTTTTTCTACATGCTTCAAGGTACCAGGCGTGGCTCGTGAATGCTGCGATGGTGGGGCGGATGGAGCGTCCCACAGGAGTGCGGGGGGATGCCCAGTGCGCTCGGTATTGGACCCGGAAGTGCTTCTGGTCCACGTGGGTGTGCTGCCAAGTGCTTGAGAGACCCCCACACCCCTTCCAGCTCAGCGATCAGCCATGGGGGCACCCTGGGTGTCCCCCCAGACCCAGGAGGCACCAGTCACTGAGTCGGGGGAATGCAAGCCGCCTGGTACCTTGAGGTATGTAGAAAAAACATTTAAAGACATGTCTATGTCCGAATCATCGAATCTCTTTGAATCAATTTGGAGGGTTCCAATTTGATTTAACGAGATTAAAGGTGTCCTGATTCGATACAGATTCGGAGATTTGGCTGCCGAATTGAGCCAAATCTCTGCCGAATTGAATTAGCAACCAAAGCTTCATACAGCCATAACGCGCGCGCGTGTGTGTGTGTGTGTGTGTGAAAATAAATAAATAAATAAATAAATAAATGTGTGTATATATGAGAGAGAGTCTTTCATATTTCTCATATTATATATATGAGAGAGTCTTTCATACACATGCAGACATTTTTTTTCCTTCACATTAGTGACCAGTACCTAAAAACCTTGAATGTTGTCAGCTGATGCGTCTCGTGGTATTTGTGATTTATTTAATTCCCAGTCTTACAAAAGCCTGGATGTGTTTATCTGTACTGTGTTAGTAGTCCTACAGACTTCAGTGAGGGTGGAGTTAAGCACATGCTGAATTTTTTGCAGGATTAAGGCCTTAAATTAGTATTACTTAATATTTGTTTTTTCAACTGTAGAATCTTCTTTGAGGGGAGGGTATGGTCAAACTTGAGTCCTTTCTGTTCCCAAATTGGCCAAAAGTGTAATTGCCATCAAAGAAGAGTCCCATAAACAGTTGTTCAAGAAAAAAACAGTTCCTCTTTATGATTCCTTAAATACCCAGTGCATCATGTAAACAGCCTTTCTTACTTTGAGATTAGTAAATATCTTATTGTTTAGTTTTCAGGTAAAATTCTTCTATATCTGCCAGATTGCCTATTGGCTTCATGCACTGCCAGAATTGTATTTCCAGAAGATTAGAAAGGTATGAATTGAAGCCTGTCTGCATTTAATTAAAAAAAACAACCCTTTTTGTTGCTTGATTTCCCATGTAATGTACTCGGGGTGGAAACATTTATAAGGGGTCCACAGAAAATATGGAAAGTTGATATATTCAGTATTACAGGGTTTTTGAAAAAAAATAGCTAAAAATAAACATCTAATAATTTTTCTAATTTTTAGGAAGATATTCCAAGACAGCTGTATTATATCTGTCTTTACATTGCTCACATATCTGGTGCCTATGTATTAAAGTAAGTATTTGTAAATTGTTATTAATTGATAAACTTTGGTTTACTTCATAATTTCATTACATTTTTGTTCACCTTTTCTTTCTATAGCCTGCAACGTTTGGGGCTAATTTTACTTGTACCTCATTATTTAGTGGAACTGATCTTTCACGCCTCTCGTCTTTTCTACTTCAGTGATGAAAACAAGCAGAAAGGGTAAATTTTGCTTATATTAAATTATTTTTATTTTCATACTACCTCTATTTAGAGTTCTGTAATTTACACTGAATTATTTTGGCATTAAAAATGTTTGCATGCATGTAAGAGCATGTTTAGGAAACATATCACATTCTAAGATACCTCTGATACCCATATTTTTGCTTGGAATTTCAATACTGTATATAGTCATGGAAACTAATATGTCACTTCGCAATTATGCTAGTTTTTCAGTTAAGCTTTGTTAAAGTCATGTCTCAAGTTAATGTTGGCCACATAAAATACTCAGTTGCTAAATATAGCTGTCACTGCAAATATTTTATAGGGATTTCTGATCTTAAAAACAAATCCAGCCAAGAATAGAAGTGCCACATTATTGCAACTTATCAGTCTTATTTTTTGTTCTTGAATTTAGTTATCATTGTCAATCAATATAAAAGAGCACAAAGAATTACAGCAGAATCTTATAGTAAAGATGTACAGCGGTGAATTCTTTCAAGGGTGAAAACTAGTATACGCTGTCATTTTTGTAGTCTGTTCCTTCTTAGCAAAAGGTAGACCAAAAGTGAAAAATTTATAATTTGTGGAAGAAAATAACATATGTATATACTGCAAATTTGTAAGTAGTTACTTTTGAGGAGGAGGAGGAATATCAGAACATCTAGGAGGAATTAAACAAGAGAACTGATCTATAGAACCAGACTGGAGGAGAGAAACTGTAGTGTGCCTACTGAAAGGGGTAAAGAGGACAACCAAGAAAGAAAGAAGTATGATGCAAGACACCCCACCCTTCTTATTGAATGTTTTATTCATGTGTGAACATTTAAGGGCCTTTGTAATTTTGTTTCACTTGTCCACTCATCTCCAACTCTGTCTCCCTCCACTATACCACCCATTCAGTGTTCACTTTTGAAAGACTAACAAATATGTTACCTTACCTTCCATTCAACTTCTTTTATATTGGACAACCCTCTTTTTTTCCTTTCTTTTTTTTTTTTTAAACTGATCTGTAAAGTTATTCCTTTTTGGGGTCTTTTCAAAGATTTGTTTTAACTTGAGTGTCAAAGAAACAAGTAGCTGAGCTGAGGGCCTGTAAAAGAGCAGAAGCCTAGGCTTGATATCTGGGAATCAAGGTCAGAAGTTCAGGGTGTGAACTGGAGTGAGGAGTCGGGGTTAGGAGCAGCTGTGTCCGGAAACAAGGGTTGAGGTAGGGACAGAAGCCTACAAGGATTTAGGCTGGAGCAGGGCTAATCACAGAGATGCTAACTATCTTTACTGTTGAGCAGCCACAAAACAAGAAGAGGGCTGCTCTTTATATTGTAGGTAGCCATGCCCATGTATGTAACTAGGGCCAGCTGCAGATAAAGTAACAGGGAACCAGGCACACTCAGGTAATCGGGATCAGGTGGGGGCTAGTCAGCATGTCTGCTGCCCTGACCCCTAATAAGGCCACTTGAAGAAAGCCTTCATTTGGTACTCCTTAATGAAAAAGTAGTTTTTCTCCAAGGGAAACCCATCTCCTTAAAGTATGAATTTCAGAAGTATTTTGACTATTTGCTTAGAAACAAGAACATAGTACAAGTCCTAAAACTGACCCTGTTGAGCCACTGGTTTTTTTTAGACTTGAGGCACCCCGTGGAAAATGTTTCCATCCAGTTTTTGTCTACAGAGAAATAATAGAGCATTTTTCTGTTGCAAAGACCTCAGAAATATCACAGCAGGCCAGAGTAATCTTAATGCTATGGATTCCTATATGAAATCTCTGCATTTATATTGTGAATATTTGCACACCTAACAGTGCTAACATTGTTTGGCACCCCAAGAAGGTCTCAAGGCACCCTGGTTGAGAATCGTTGCTTTATATGTCAGGTTATAAATTCTAACCCCTATGGCCTCTTTCAGACTCTTGCTGCTTTTTCTTGTATGTGCTGGCTCTGGTTTGTTTATTTTTTTAACCTTCCTGTTTGAACTGACAGATTCAGAAGATAGATTTTCATTTTTTTCAGTTTAAGATTAAATGAATGAAGTCTTTTTCTGTTTAAACTGAATATATGGAGAGCACCAGCTTTGATTTTTAAAAGTGAATTTCTTTTCCACCAACTTGTATGAGAGTTTCTGACCCATCTTCATTAAAGAAAGCCCTCAGAACGTAAAATCAACCAACAATCTCTTCCTGCTTTCCCAGCCTGGCCTGATGCTGACTTCTCTCATGGAATCCCCTTCCTCTGGTGCAGGAAAAAGCCGTAGTGGTATATCCTTGGGCACTCTTCTCAGATATCACTGCTTAAATTCATCAGTTTCTATACTGGCTGTATTGAAGACCATTAACACACAAGTTGTTCACAGAACTTTACTCTCAGTGTCTTTATAATCAACATGTTCCAACCCTTAAAAGTAATGGAAGTAATATTTTATATCTAATTAATTTTTGGTAATTCATAAAGGTGCTTGTAACTTTTGATTGTTCACCACATTTTATAACTTATACAAGTTTGGGTACTAAAATGACATTTTGTAAGTCATATAGATCAATGTGGGAAGGTTGTACTTTACTATTGATTTGCATTTCTCTGTTCAGTATATTCTCCCCTCTTCCTGACATATAAATTAAATGACTATAAATAATCTACTTTGACCTACCAACCACTTCTTTTTTTAATTTAATATCTGTGTGTGACCATTCTGTAGTGATTTCCATGGTTTTATAAGACCCTTGCTACTTGATATTCATGCTGTAAGTCATAGAAATATGATGGACTCTCTTTACATTACATTTCATTATGGAGGGAAGTTTAACTTTACTTAACCTTGTAAAGTTAGATGAGTTAAAAAGAGGTAGACAAAACATGGGAAATACATTAATTTCCTGATGAAATCATGTTCTAATGAACAAAATTCATTCTTTTGTTTTCAGATTTACCCTTTGGGCTTTACTGTTTGTAATGACTCGTCTTCTAACGCTAACTTTATCTGTCCTCACATTTGGATTTGGTCTGGCAAGAGTAGAGAATCCAGTTTTTTCCATAGTAGATGGAAACTTCAATGTACTCACTGTGAGGTATAAGATGATTTATGTTTTTAAAAAATTATATAACAGTCCAAAATGTTACTTGTTTTTCTTCTGTGTTTTGAGGTGGAAGATTTTAAGCAGCTTTGTTTCTTTGTCCCTACCTTCCATGGTACAGGGCCTACCAGTACAAAATGTTTGGCAAAAATTAATTAAATCAGTCTTTTCTATTATTATATTTATTTTTTATTACATTAACCTAATGATTAGCATGAAAAGGACACCCTGCATAACTATTTTGTGAGACTTTTCTTTAAAAAGTCCATGTTTATTATAGACATGCTGTAATTTTGAAATGCTCCCACCATCACTTTTTCCTCATTTTATTTTAGAGACCCCAAACATGCTCTGAATGCACTCATTCTTGCTTGCTCATATTGAAGCCAGATTTTCATCATGGGCTCCTCAGTTTAAAATTTATTTTAAATAAAGTATCATCAAAGATGGGCATTGGACTTGTACACCTGGTCACTGTTAAAGTTCACTCATAGATCATTTGGCAGAAGAAGCTACAATTGTGCAATTTGCTATAGATCCATAAAAGCTATAGTTGATATTTCCTTGCCAAGTATGGACACTTTCATTGATGTATGTACATGCAACTCTTGCTTATTTCATGCATGAGTCTCTCAGACAAATGTGGTTTTCACTAGCATGAGAGGTTTGAGTGATGGTTTTTTTTTAAAAAACGTGGCACTGCTTTGCAGTATAACTATGTACAGTTAGAACATTTTATAACACTTCTTAAGTTGGGTTTTTTGGGTTTGTTGTTTTTTTTAGGATTAGCTGTTTGGCTGCAGTTTGTTTAACACAGGCCTGGATGATGTGGAAATTTATAAATTTCCAGCTAAAAAAATGGAGAGAGCATACCCGGAACCAAATTCCTAGGAGAAAAATAAATAACATGAAGAGCAAGCCAACAAAAAAGGAAACAAACAGAGGTTAGTGTTATTGCATTTTAAAGCCCCTTTTAAGATATACTGTAAGCATTTCTGCATATGATTTATTTTCTGTATCTTATCTTTTTCTTCATACCAAAACGTAAGGGAGCCAGAGCAGCGTCCATTTGTTGGTGTACAGTGAAAACAGACATCATTTTAACTTCATAGCTGCATACAAGCATTACATTTCTACCACGAAAATGGCAGTTCTGGTAGAAACCCTAAGTGTACAAACCTTCCCAGTTTCTCTCAGACCAAAAAGGGTGGTTTAAAAAAAAAAAAAAAAAACTCCAACCAAGTAGAAGTGGCTCCTGGGAGAGTTTCTCCAGGGAAAACAAACATATGTATACACTTACTCTTCCAATAGAAGCCACAGTGCTGTCCTCCAACATTCCAGCTTACATTTGTCCTTCATACTTCCTGTCTCTAGGAAGTCTGTGACTCAGGCTAGATTCCACGGTTCCAGCTGAGTACAGAGCAAACCCCTCTCCCTGACTGCTTTGGGATCAGGTTAATCCAATCTTTTTCACCAACCCTATGCTGTACCCCATGGCCACATCCAGATGAACGCAGACATGCATTATGTGATGTCGCAGACCTGCCTGTAACACCACACGCTGCACGTGCCAGCATTCCCCATACTACTAGCTTGCAGTGTGTGTGTGTGTGTGTGTGTGTGTGTGGGGGGGGGGAGGTGTTGACCCTAGATTCTGGGGTCAAGAAAACCAATGCTGAAAAAAAGCGGGGCAGCACACATGGTACCAGCACATACCACCCAGAACAGGAGACTGGCTGGCTGGAGTCACACACTTGCTTATGGCCAGGCTTCCTGGCATGGCTGCAACCCTGGGAGGTGCCCAGGTAAGGCTGTTGATGCCAGCACAGTTTCTGGCCCCAGCCTCCCTTTGATAACTTGCTGCACGCCAGAGCATGCAGAGTGTGCGAGGATCTGTGCACAGGGGTTTCTTCACTGTATGCCATCCACAGTGCACACTGTACACTATGCACCCAACCTCTCTAACGTTTGTACCCTGCTCTCCTGGTAGGTTTTCTTACTGGGGAAATGAAACCACGGGACCTGTGGTTCATTTCAGTACTTCTGTGCAGCCAAAATAGTCTACCTCAGGATCTTTACTTATAGTTCACTGTAACTGCATGTTGCTAACCAAGGAGGGATCAAATGTTGTACTAGAGTAAAGACCTAAACTATAAATTAACTCCAGCACTTTCTAGAGTTTTTGTGTCCTTTACTGAACACAAAAGTAGATTTGACAAGTGTTGCATATTGCTAGACTGAAGGATTTTAAAAATTAAAGAAATAGGACATTTGTAAGAAAATGTTGCAATCATTCTTTTAATGCCTACAAATTAAAACATATTCCATTTGAGGTTTTTTAAGTGATCTTTTTCCTTTATGACTGTAAATTCTATTTTTGTTACATTTCAGAAGAAATTTAATTCAGTGTCTTGCTTTTCCAGATATATTTAATTTGAAGGCTTTGTAGTAAATGTTAGATACATAAAAGAACCGAAATGAATTTCACATTAACTGGTGGACGATACGTAGCGAATAAGACTTGGACAGTAGGGCTGTGCGAAGCTTCGGTCCCTGATTCAGTTTGGTGGAGATTCGGCCTGATTTGGTGGCCGAATCTCTGAGTCCGAGTTGAAACAGGACCCTTTAATCTCTTCAAATTGAATCGGAGCCCTCCAAATAGATTCGGAAAGATTCAGCGATTCGGGCATAGACACAGCTTTAAATATTTTCTCTGCATGCCTCTGAGTACCAGTGTGGCTCGTGAATGCTGCGATGCTGGGGCGTGTGGAGCGTCCCACAGAAGCCTGGGGAGATCCCCAGTGTGCTCGACAGCAGACCCGCAAATGGGCCAGAAGAACTTCCAGTCCACTTCTGGGTCTGCTGGCGAGCACGCCGGGGGCCCCCCCACAATTCCCTGGGTTAAGTGACCGGAACTACTTCGGGTCCACTTTCAAGTTAGCTGCTGAGGATGTGGAGGGCCCCCCTGCACTCCCGTGGGATGCTCCATGCATCACAGCATTCACAAGCTGTGCTGGTACCTTGAGGTGTATGTAGAAAAAACACTTAAAGCTGTGTCTGTCCGAATCACTGATCCTCCGAATCAGCATCGAATCTTCAGATTCGGATTTGGCCAAATTGAATTGGGGCAGTGATCCAAATCAATGAATTGAATCACTGTCCCTGATTCAGGCCAAATCCGAATCGAATGGGGCCCACTTTGCACACCCCTATTGGACAGGAAGACTAACCATACTATACAGAAATACATACGAGAGTCAGACCCTCTTCCTGTGAAGCTAAGGACCAGCACTGTTGAAAAGCACAGCATCTGCTAATGCTAATCCTGGATCTTTTCAGAACTTCCATTTTCATTTTTGTCTCTAGCTAGAGGGGTGTGCTGTTTTAAATTTAGGCAAACTTATTGAAACTTAATTGGATGGAGAGACTCCAGTTGATCTTAACAGGTGTGGAAGTAGTTTAATTCCTTTCCCCTACTGAACCTCTTAGTTTCAGTGAAGAACATATCTCTGTGGTTCTACTCCAGCCTTGCAGGCCCTTCTCTCCTTTCTTCCATTAATATTTTCAGTGCCTGTTTTTGCTGTTCCTCATTGCTTTTACATACAGCAGTATGAAATGGATACAGTTCTTGAGATTCACCACTGCTCACAAGTTCTGCCCAGCAGTGAAACTGTCTGTAGTCCTATTGACTTTGTGTGTTGCTGCAGCTGGGCAAATCACTGAACAGCACAGATGTTGGAGCCATCTGTCTGCAGAGTTGGGAGGATGCTGCTGCATTGGCTAAACCTTACAAAAATAAATACCTTCACAATGATACAAGCTCAAAATATTCAGTGAAAAGTTGGATTCTGCTGAGATCCCTTCTAAGTCTCCAGGCTAGCTTCTGATAGCTAGAGTAAATGGATTTTTTTAAAGCCTTAAATATAGGGATCCAAGCTGGATGCCAGTTAATATGTTGGTCAGCAGTGACTGTGCAGAGTTCTGATGCTGTGGGATAATTCAAATGTATCTTGAGTTATCGTAGAATCAATGAGTCATAGTTTCATAGTTTCTAGGGTCGGAAGGGACCTGAGAAGGTCATCTAGTCCG